ACTTATTATCTAGGTGGCCTTGGGCAAATCAATTTACCCCCACTGAATCTAGTTTCCCCAACTGTAAAATGAGCAGATTGGACTTGGCCTCTTAGGTTCCTTCCAATTCTAAATACATACATACATACATATATTATATATATATATATATATATATACACAGAGAGAGAGAGAGAGAGAGAGAGAGAGAGAGAGAGAGAGAGAGAGAGAGAGAGAGAGAGAGAGGTACAATTAGTGATTTTATTGGCATACGAGCTCCCAGGGTGAAAACTCTTTCTACCGATATAGATTGGCATCTGCTCTGCCACTTAGAGACTAAAAACTGCTTGGGGCACTGAGACATTAAATCAATTGCCCAGGGTTGCCCAAGCAACATGGGTCAGAGGTGAAGCCATATGGTGGGTTCTCTCTCCACTGTTCTACCTGGCTTCTTAGGCCTCACAGGAAGGAGAAAGGAATAAGCAGTCTACCTATACACTGAGGCAAGGTTACTTGGCCAGAGTAAATGAATGGGCCGTTGGAAAAGCAGAGCATAAGAAAGCAAAAGGCATAAGGAAAGGCAGATTGTGAAAGAACCACAAAGCAGGGAGGGATGGAGAGAAACTGGGAGCCATGGGAGGAATCTGAGGAGGGCAGTAGCATCCTCAGAACAAAGTCTAAGGAAGGTCTCATGATGGTTGGTTTTTTGGACCAACTAGTGTAGAAAAGTACCAGAAATGTGACAGGGCTAATATAGCAAAAGCAGGAGACACACAGAGCCCAGGCCAACGATTCCATTTTGAAGATTTCAGGGAGGGGCAGATCTTCACTGTGGAGGAAGAAACAAAAGGCACCAGTGTGTGCCTGAATGTAGGTAGAGAGGGAAAGGAAATCAGAGGAGGTGCCCCTAGATCTGCAGGCTCCTGTTCCTGAGGTATATCCCCTCCTCCCATCTCGCAGCTGAACCCACAACTGCCTTGGCATCTGCTAAACACCTTCATTCTGGTTCCGAAGTCAAAGGACCTGGATTCAAATCCTGCTTTTGGCACCTACTACCTGTGTGACCTCAAGCAAGTTGTGTTCTTTTCCTGTAAAATTAGGGTGTCATAATTGATGGCGCCCAAGGTTCCTTCCAGTTCTAAATCCGACGCTAGAAAGTCACTTAACCTCCTTGGAGCTAAGTTTCCTTCTTTGTAAAAGGCAGGAGTTGTATTAGGTGGCCTCTAAATCCCTGACCCTCTGATCCTATTAATGCACGTGAGTGGGGATTAAACAATGTCCTGTGACCCCTCCAGACACTATTGCCTCCACATTGTTTTCCTTATCCAACTGTGAGCCCCTCAACTGTGGATCCTATTGCTCCCCAGATCGGACATTTCCCTGCCTACCCCCCACCCCGGTCAAGATCTGGCCTGCACCGGCAACACCAATATACCCACATCTGAAATGTACACAGCAACTCACTACTCTTACTACACTCGCGGTCCTGCCGAGTGGCGACCTCTAGTGGGGCTGTTAGGCTTTAGGGAATTTCAGTGTGAAAAATGAATAAATCACCTCCTGCCCCCACTCCCTATCCTCCATCTCCATTTTGTCGATATGTCCTGATTTAGTCGTTTAAATCCTTTACAGAGATGAAAATCAAGGGCACCTTCAGCCGACTTGTTCCCAGTGGAGCAGGAAGGATAGGATGACTAGAAATAAGCAATATTCAGAAAGTGGAAACAATCGGCATCTCGAGCCAAATTAACTTGATTAATGTTGTGGGAAGAAATGTGGAAATGTAAATGCTGTCAAGACATTACCTGGGAAAAGGAGAGCGTTTGGGCCATGGCTTCCCTAATTGGTGATTTAGAGTATTCACGGCAGCCAGTGAGAGGACTTAGAGAGCCTGGCCTGCTGGATGCCAATATTCCTTTTAAAGGACTCTTAACTACAACATAAGTGAGAGCCGTTATCTTGGGAAAATATGCACATTTGCTAATTCTGGGCATCGTGGCTTGCTTTCAGCTTCTGTCCTTTGCCTAGTTGGCACGTCTGTCGAGTGTGGGCAAACACTTTTGAGCTGAGCGGATGCTAGGTGGTTTGAAGTACAATGATGAGGGGATCCAGGCTTGACTAAAAAGCTGACACCGATCATGGCAGCTTAGTAACTACTTCATTTTTCTTTTCTTTAAATAAGTGTTTTTTCAATGTCCTTAAAATAGTCATTGCTATTTTTCAACAACTTCTTTCCCATCCTTCCATTTGCTTAAATCAAGTAGAAAAAGTACTAGCTTGGGAGCCAAGGGACCTAATGTCAGGGTTCAAATTCTGTATTTTCCTACCTGTTTCTGAGTGATTTTCTTTCTCTCTTTGAGTCTGTTTCCTCATTTGCAAAAGGAGGGGATTGGACTGAGAAGCACCATTCAACAGCGTAAAGAACAATGGATTTTAAGATTGAGGACCTGAATTGAAATCCTTGTTCAGCCACTTATTATCTCTGGGATGTTGGTAAGTCTCTTGTCTCTGGGCCTCAGTTTCCTCACCTATCAAAATGAGAGCATTGGACTAGATGACCTCTCATGATTTTTTCCAACTTTAAATTCTGTAATTCCATAACCAGATAACTTTTTGAGGTCCTTTTGGTCTCTAAATCTATGAAGTACAGTTCAGCAAATCAAAACTAATACGTATCTGACAAATCATGTCTCATTGAGCAACTGTAGTCCACCACCTGCCTGCCAAGAGGCTGGTTGACTTCCCCATTTGTCTTCTGAAGTCCTGATGTCCCTACATTAGTCATCATTCCTTTGCTTTTAAATAGTGTTTCTCTTCATACCGTCGTTAGTCATTCTCTTTAGAAAGTGCTTTTGAAATATATTTTGTTTATATGGGAATAGGAGGAAGAAGGATGATGAATAAATTTAGCTAAGTTTTTGCTGATGTTTCTCCTTTTTGAGAAAGACCAATGACATGACAGCGATGATGTCATGACTTTCATGCAAATTGGATTTAAGTGAGGAGAGTTGTGCAAAGTTGTTAGCCTCACTCTCTCTTCCTGAGCTAGTTTTCAATATATGCAAATGAAGTGTAGGTACCAAGAATAAAAAAAACTGAACAAGATTGGGAAAAGTAAATCCAGCTGCTGGTGGCCTCCTGCCCCAAACTACCTTGTATTCATTTCATATTTTTTTAAACACACTTAGAAATGGGTTTCTTGTCTTACTGCATAAGGCATTATACAAAGTAATGAAGGAGATAGGAAAATAAGGCAAGGCAGATAGACTGCAAGTTTCTTGAAGGAATTTCACTTACGCTCAAAAACGAGTGTTCAGTATTCAACAAAGAGCTCAGCACATAGTTGGAGCTCAATAAAGGTTTGTTGATTGATTGAACAGAAAAGCACAAGTGAAGGAGAGGATTCCTGTCCCTTAAGCGTTGTGCATAGCTGCCACTTTGGGAGATGGGAAGGTTACTGGATTTCCCATATACTTCTTGAACTCAACATGTCCAAAACTGAACTCATGATCTTTCCTCCCAAACCTTCCCCTCTTCCTAACTTCCTATTCCTGCCGTTGTTATCGCCATTCTCCCGGGCACTCGGGCTCATCACCTAGGTGTCATTCTTAACCCTTTACTCCCTCTTACCTCCTATTGTCAAGTCCTGTCGCTCTTCCCTTAATAAAATTGTTCGTATACACACATTCCTCTCCTCTGACACAGCCATCACCCTGGCAGTACAAGCCCTCAACACCTCATTCCTGGACAATTGCAGCAGCTTACTGGTGGGTCTGCCTTCCTCAAGTCTCTCTCCACTCCAGTCCATCCAATGATATGGTCTAACGGTGTTAGAGTCCTTTCGTTTTGGGGATTTGTTCTGTGAAGTTTGGATTCAGTCAAAGGGCCACACTTGGGGACCTAGAGGGCCATGTGTGGCCTCAAGGTCACAGGTTCCCCACTCCTGAAACCATATCATTCCTCCCTCCCCCAATTCAATGAAATCCAGTATCTCTCTCTTAATTCCAGGATCAAAATCCTCAAAGTTCTTTATAAACTGGCCCCTTCATAGCTTCTAGTTTTCTTGTACCTTCCTTCCTCCGTGAGCTCTTTGATCAATGATCCTGGTCTACTTGCTGTTCCTTGAACACAATTCTTCATCACCCAATTCTATGCATTTTCGCTGCTGTCCCCCAGGCCTGGGATTTTCTCCCTCATCACCTCCACCTCTCCCTCCATCACCTCCTGGCTTCCTCAACTTCCTTCAAGTCTCAGCAACAGTCTCAGCCTTTCCCAGGCCTCCTTAATCTTAATGCCTTTCCCTTTGAGATTACCCACAATTTTTCCTGTAGAAATTTTGTTTGTACATCATAATTTGCAGACTGTGAGTTCCTTGAATGCAAGGCTTCCCCCCACCCCTTTCTTCATATCTCCATCTCTTAGTACAGTGCCTGGCACATAGCGGATGTTTAATAAATGCTAATTGTCTGTTGCCCCCCCTTTTTATTAAACATGACTTTTGTTCCTATCCCTTCATCTCCATTCAATATTTATATCTCAGCCCAAATGCCTTTTTGTTTAACTGATTTCGTTAGGCTGAGCAGGCTGATCTTTAAAGGACAAAAATGCTGAATTTCTGTGCTCATTCCCTCTCTCCATTTAACAGAAATTGCTCTTTGCCAAGAAGGCTCAGGAAATTTGAAATATGTTCTGTAATCCCCAAAGCCCTGTTCTCCAAGAGTGAACAGAAGGCCGTCTGGCAATCATAGTCAAGCACCAAGACATCAGTCACTGCCTACCTTGTTAATTCTTTCTACAAAATCAGACTAAAACAGCCCAGTAGGACCAAGATCTAAAAATCCTTTCTGTCCTTTACCCCCCATCTCCTGCAGATGTCTTGAGCACAACAGAATGAAGGTTCATTCCCCAAGGTTCCTAGCTTTGATTTATGTCACTCACCTCCCTTATATTTTATTTTTCTCACGATCTGGCTACATGACAGAAGAGATTAGGAACCCTGTCCAAGAAACAGTGTTACTTACTGAAGATGAGCTAATTATTTTAATTTGTTCCAAAGCTTCCGACAGGCTTTCTTCAATCTCTGAGTCATTCAAGGAGAAGAGGTCCCCAGCACGGGAAAGGTCCCTTTGTCCCAAAACCAGTCTGAACAGATGATGCATGGCGGAGCCCAGAGGGTATCAACTCCACTTCTGGATACACACAGCCATGTGCTTTCTTTTGAGAGGGCTGTTAGCATCGAAGGGCATAGCAAGGGAGGCACGTGTTTTTCCTAGAAAGGTAGTTTTTTCTTTGGACTTGGAGATTTCTTCCGGTACACTCTGAAAGGGGGGAAAAACACATGGTTTACTATGGAAATCAGCAAAATAGCAGGAGGCTTGGAAGAAGATTCAAAGTCTTACCAGAGAAAAGATGCTTTTTAAAAATATTTTTACAAAGTGTCTAAGAATTTCAGAGTTAAAAGGGATCTCAGAGGCTGTTGAACCCAACTCATTCCTGAACAAGCATCTCCATTTCAATTTCCCTGGCCAGGGTTCATCTAGCATCTGCTTAAAGACCTGAAGTGAGGTAGAGCCATGGAAGCTCCTTGAGGTCAGAGACTGCCTTATATGTTAGTACTTGTACTCTTAGTTGCTTAGCAGAGTGCCTGATGTAGTGTTTAATAATTCTATCTACCTGTCTATCTCATGCATTTTAATAGCTTCTACTCCATCACCTGACTCTTGGCATTTTCACTGGCTGTCCCCCATATGTTACATTCTCTCTCTCCTCACCTTCACCTCCTGGCTTCCCTGGCTTCCTTCAAGTCTCAGCTAAAGTGTCACATTCTATAAGAAGCCTTTCCTAATCCCCCTGAAATCTAGTGCTTTCCCTCTGGGATTATCTCCAATTTATTCAGTCCATATCCTCTTTGAACATACTTATTTACATATTGCCTCCTCCATTAGACTGTGAGCTCCATGGAGGCAGGGATTGTTTTTTCTTCTTTCAATTTTATCCCCAGCACTTAGAACAATGCTGGGCAAAAAGGAGGTACTTCATAAATGCTTATTTCTCTCTCTCTGTCTCTGTCTCTGCCAGGCCTGGCAATTAACAACATATACCACCAGAATTTTTATCATCTATTCCCCAGGATACTCATTAGTTTTTTAGTCATTCCAATTTCAACTTCCTTTAAGTGATCTGTTATCTTACATTGTTGTAATTATTACACATATTGTTCTATTGGTGCTTTTTATTTCACTTTACATCAGTTCATACAATCTTCCCATGTTTCTCTCAGTGTTTCATATTTGTCTTTGCCTATTCAGAATAATACATTCAGGTATCACAAATTTTTCAGAAATTTCCCAATAAGTGGGTAACCACTTTCTTTGTCAGTTAGTCAATAAGCATTTATTAAGCACCTACTATGTTCTAGGCACTGTGCTAAGTGCTAGGGATGCAAAAAGAGGCAAAAGACAGTTCCTGACCTCAAGGAGCTCACAATCTAATATGGTAGACAACAGTGTTTTAGCAAAATCATGTTAATGACTGAATGGAGGATGGATTGGAGGTTGAGGCAGATAGACCCACTAACAGGCTCTTGAAGTAGTCTGAGGGAGAACTGATGAGAGCCTGCACCAGGGGCAGTGTCAGAGGAGAGAAGGTGAGTATTAGAGAGATGCTGCAGAGGTGAAATTGACAGGCTTCAGCAACAACTTGGAGATGGGGGTGGTGGTGAGAGATGAACGATACAGGAGGACTCAGGTTGTGAAGCCGAGCTCTAGGAGAATGGTGTTGCCCTCAACAGTAATAAGAAAATCTGGAAGAGGGGGAACACTTAGGGGAAAAATGAGTTCATTTTTGGACATGTCAAGTTTAAAAATGTCTACTGGAATCCAATTTGAGATGTCTGAAAGGTAGTTTGGAGATGTGAGATGGGGGTCAGCAAATAGGTTAGTGCAGAATAGGTAGATTTGAGAATCATCAGCATAGAGATGGTAATTCAATCCATGGGAACTGATAAGATTGCCAAGTGAAATAGTACAGAAGAAGAAGAGAAGAGGGCCCAGGAGAGAGTCCTATGGGACACCTATGATTAGAAGGCGTGACCTGGATGAGAATCCAGCAAAGAAGACTGAGGAATGGTCTGATAGGAAGGAGGAGAACCAGGAGAGAATGATATCTCAAAAACCCAGGGAGAAGAGAACATCAAGAAGAGGGCAACCATTAAAAGCAGAATCTAGAACTGTAGAATTGTTAGGAACCTCTGAGATCATCTAAGCCAAGGAGAATGCCCTCTCCAGCACATCCAATGAATGACCACTCAGCCGTTGCTCCCTCCTAAGGAAGCAGAACCCCCAACTGCTATTTCACATTTGTGATGACTTTGTTGGGGGTGTTAAACCTAAATTCACTTCTTTGTGACTTCCACCCATTTCTCCTCTTTAGGCCTTCGGAGTGAAGAAGTCTTATGCCTTTTCAAATACTTGAAGAGAGTTATGTTTGGGCAGCTGGGTGGCCCAGTGCTTGGAGTCAGAAAGACCTCAGTTGAAATCCTGCCTCAGACTCTTGCTAGATGTGTGTTACTTCCAATAATAAAAAAGACTATTTTCTGGAGAACTAGTACAAGCAAGTGCTCTCACAGTGGTCAGAAGAAACAGGACAAGCATTAAATCAAGATCTCTGAAAAACTATAGTATCCATTGTGAAACTTGGGAGACGACAGCACAGGACTGCCCAGCATGGCTTGCCCATACCAAAGAAGGTGCTGTGCTCCATGAGCAAGGCAGAATCTCAGCAGCACAAATGAAATGTGAGCTGCGCAAATCCAGAGGCCTCTCCATCCCAAATAGTCTAACAGGCTATTTGTGCCTGACCTGTGGTAGAACCTTCCAAGCTCATATGGGACTGATCAACCACAGCCAAACACACCGTACCTTGACCCCAACATAGAGATATCACTTTAGTCCTCTTTGAAAATGAAAGACAAATAACAATTAGATTGTGACCCTGCACAAGTCATTTACCCTCTATTTGCCTCAGTTTCCTCATTTTCTAAAATGAGGATAATAATAGAACCTACTTCACAGTGTTGTGAAGATCAAATAAGTTAATATCTATACTGCACTTCACAAACCTTGAAGTGCTCTACAAATACTAAGTAATAATAATAATAATGATTCCCTCTCCAAGTCTTATCTTCTCCCACACTAAACATCTCCAGTTCCTTCAACCAGTTGTCATACCACATTCCATGCCATTGCTTCACCATCATGGTGAAGACCGTCCCTGGCCTCCTTTGGACACACTCTAGATTATTAATGACTATCCCATAATATGGCACCTAGAACTAGACACAGCACCACCAAATGTGGTTTGACTAGGCCAGACTTAATGTCTTATCCTGGACGCTTGTCTACCATAGCAAAACTCATGCTGAGCTTGCAATCCTACTCAGTCCCCACGTCCTTGTCCAGGCAAACTCCTATCTAGCCACGCCTTCATTATCCCATGTTTGCAAAGTGTATTTTTGGAACACAAGTGTAAGACTTATTGTTATCACTATTAAACATATTAGATTTGACCCAACGTTCTAGCCTGCTCAGATGTTTTCATATCCTGTCATCTGGTGTCTAGTCTAACTCTGCCTTCCAGCTTTGTGTTATCTGAAAATCTGGTAAACATGCTAGCTATATTGTTACCTAAGCCATTGATAACAATGTCAACAGCAGAGGACTAGACGCCAATCCCTATGGCACCCCTCTAGAGACTGCCCTCTAAGTTGATATTGAACCATTAATGACTACAGTTTGGATCTGGCCATTCAACCAGGACCAAATCCAACCACGTGGAAGAAATTGTAGGATCCAAGCCTTTAGATCTGGAAGGGACTCTTTTTTGTTTTTGTTTTTTAGTCATTTTTTGGTCATGTCCAACCCTAGAGATCATTTAATTCACGTCTCCCCTCTCATTTGACAGTTGGGAAAATGGAGAGCTAAGGAAGTTGTAACAACAAAAATATCACCTTTAAGCACTGTCTTTCCCTCCAGACCAGCAATGTTGGCCTTTCAGCCTCATTTTCCTTATTTGCAAAATGAGGAGGCTGGACTCTCAGACTTCTAAAGTCTCTGCCTCTATGGTCCCTTCCAGCTCTCAGTCTATGATTTTAGGATCCTACTTCCAATTATAAATGATCTTTTGCATGTGTGATCCTTACTACAGGGATATGGCTCCAAGCTAGAGGAGCTGTGAGAAGGGGCAAAAAAACAAAACAAAACAAAACCTGACAGCCCTTAAGAGTCTCTGCTTCCATAGAGTGGGTGGGGAAAATAGAGACAGAGACAGTCATTCAGAAAGGCCAACAGGAAGACAGAGAGACAGAGAGAGAGAGAGAGAGAGAGAGAGAGAGAGAGACAGAGAGACAGAGAGACAGAGACAGAGACAGACATAAATAGAGAGAGAGACAGAGAGAGAGACAGAGATATGGCAGGACAGAGACTCCAACCTGAAGAATTGCTGCTTTGGGGTGTGGTTGTTTTGAGGGATCAAATACACCATATTCTTTAATACAGAAGTGTCAGATCCACTACTGCAAACCTTTCAAGTGCAGCCCAAATCAGATTTTGTATGTGTATAGCTTCACTGGACTGTTTGACTCCAGCTTGCTGTACCCTGGTAGGCTGCCTCCTGAATCAACAAGGCAAAGCTAGAAATCCACTCCCAGCCTGGAAATATACATGTCGGGTGGGAGAGGGAGGAAGGGGGAAAGAGAGAGGGAGAGAGAGGGAGAAGAGGGAGAGGCAGAGGGGACAGGGAGGGGGAGAGAGAGAGAGAGAGAGAGAAAGAGCCAATATATTCATGCTCAACATGCACACAGACATACACACATGTATATGCACACACACACATATACTCACACATAAATATCTAAAACCAAGTTCATGGCCCCAGGGTAAGAGCCCCTCCTGACTCAGTTATTCTTGTTGGCCTCGGAGTCAGGAAGAGTCTTTCCTCTGATGCTTACTGACTCTGACCCAAAGTTAGAGCCCCTGACAACCTTTAAGTCTACAAATTACAGAGCAGGTACTAGTCTATACGAGGAATTTCCTCCTTGAGGGCACCAGTGAAATAAATCACTGGTCCAGGCCAAGCCCCAGGTCTTCTCTTTCAAAAACAAAAACAAACCTCTCTTATAAATGTAGTCAGTGGTTCCCTCCCCCCCACCACCACAGATTTCTACATCTTCCTCTCTCCAGATAGCCCTTTTACTCTCTTAGAACCTTCAAAGGAGAAAGTTTACAAAAACTCTTTCCCTGTACCCTCCCCCCCCCACACC